CAGCTAATTCCTGCTCAGTAGTACATTTGTTACTTTCACCTTTAGTAAATGCTCTTAATGCGTTGGGGAAGTTGGAGACCTCTGTGAGCGACCTCTCCTTGGCGTCCTCCCTTGCAGCTGTATTGGGGGTGCCGCCGGAACCCTCATTGCGAGCACGGGTTTCCTTAAGCTCCTTTTGCTCTCGAGCGCGCTCCTTCAGCGGGACCATCCCCGCAATGACCAGAATGGCGTCGTGAAGCCGGACGCGACTTTTATAGCACCCAGCCTGTAAACTGCATCTACCTCAGCCCAGATGGGCGCTGCATACAAAATTTGCGCCGAGGCAACGCTCACGAGGAGCCTTCTCCTGATCTGCTTGGGGCCTCTGGTGTTTAAAAGGATCCTGGCGAGGCCCCTGGTAGTGGCTGCAGCCTTGCCCTGGATATAATCAAGGTGCTCGCGGAAGGAGAGCCGGGCGTCGATCATCACGCCCAGGTATTTTATGGCCCGCTGGGAGGTTATGGCCATTCTACCAACCCGAATTGTCGCCGTTTCCAGCACCTTGCGGCTGCTGACCAGCACCGCTTCGATCTTTTGCGGGGCTAGGCTTAGACCGGTTCCATAGTTCCAGAGAGAATTTCCTGTTGGTCCTTGAAGGCTACGTGCCGCTCCTCAACGGCGTCGCTGCATCTCGCGCGCTGCATAAGTCTCCTTGCTTTCATGCACTCAGCTCGGATGGAGCCAATCTCGTAGCTCCACCAGTAAACGGGAGCGTGGTTCCTACGGTAGCGGCTTCTCCGCTGGACGTCAGGTCTATGGAACCTGCTCTGGCTGAAGGTGTGCTGGTTCCCTTTGTTCAGCAGTACGAGATCGAGTGAGGCAAAGGTTTCTCTGACCACTCTCCCTCTCGCATTCGTCCTCGGGCAGCCCCAGTCCTGCGCCCATGCGTTGAAGTCCCCTGCTACAAGGACGTTAGAACGGCCTCTGATATCATTTCCTAGGCAGTCCATCATGCGCTCAAACTCGTTGGTGGTTAGGCTAGGTGCCTTGTAGCAGCTGTAAAGCCATGCCTCACCTATTCGAGCCCTTACGAATCCCTCCGCACTGTGCACTCCCTCATTGTCACGCCGGTTGCGCCACAGCTCCAGATGGCAGCCTTCCCCGATAGGTCAACTGCCCAGCGGTTGTCTGAGCCAGTCCTATGGGGTTCGCTTAGGAGCGCTATGTCCGCCTTCGTCTCCCTCGCAGTCTGCGACAGCACATCTTGAGCCGCCATACAGTGGTTCAGGTTCAGCTGAAGCACTAGCATCATGTCGTCCTAGGTCCACCTCCTTTCGCTGACATGGGGCAACTTCTGCTTCCAGTCTGATGCCACTCTGATCCTTCCGGCCCTTATCTTCACACGAGAAGCATCGAGGGTCCTTTTTGCAGGTGGCCGCCCTATGGTCCGTGTCTCCGCAGCGGAAGCAACAGCCGCTCCTGTCTTTCGAGCTCTTGCAAGCGCTTGCGATGTGCCACATCCCAAGGCACCTGTAGCAGCGAGCTACGACCTCCTTTTCCTTCATATGGCATACTGACCACCCAACCTTCACCTTGCCCACAGCAATGATGGCCTTGGCAAGGCTCGCGGGGAAAGCCACGATAGCGGTCTGCGTCTCGCCATAACTGCTTCTCAGCTTCTTGACTTTCAAGGCGCCTTGGTCCACCGTTGCCTGCTGCGCGATAGCCCCGATGATGTCCTCCGAAGTAGCTAGTGCGTCGAGTCCTCGTAGCTTGACGAGCGACTCCTTGGTCTCCTCCGAGTACGCCCGCACCTCTGCCTTGCTCCCTAGGACCTCCTCGATGCAACATTTAAGGGCCTGTGTGGAGTTCTCCTTCTTCCTAGCCAATTCCAGAAGAAGCCCGCCCTTGGCTGTCTTCCTCACTTTCTTGACGCATAGGCCAAGGTCGTGTAGCTTCCCGTCCTCCCTGCGAGTTACCATGCTTAGGATCTGACTGTACGTCATGCCTGCTGCTTGGATCACTATGACGTCGGGTGTGGCTCGTCTCCTCTCGGGATTTCTAGGCTTGGCCTTGGTCCATTCAGTCCTTCTTTCCATTCTTTCCAGCCCATTCAGCTTCCTTTGTCGGCAGCCGGGTTTGCAACAGCTGGCTTGGGCCTTGCCGCCGTGTTGGCCGTTGCTACTTTGGCCCCCGAGTCCCTCGCAGTAATTTTCCGGTGTGCACTCCAGGGGCCTGTGCTGTTCGGGATGCTGCCGGTCTGCACAGCCTGGTCCTGGGTCCAGACCTCCGTCGGAAGGGTCTGCTGCTCTTTCTCCACGGTATCGATGCCGGGTTTCTCGCATCTGGGGCACACTGGCTTGGGCATGATGACCGGTCGCGCATGCTCCTCTGGAACACTGCCGACCATAATGGAGTGGATGTCCTTCAGCCTGGTTATCAGGCTCCTTTGCATTGCGGAAATATGCCTCTTATTTTTTTCCGTGACCCACGATAGCAGCTCGTTCACTATCGTGCCCAGCTCCGTCAGGCATTCTTCGCTTCTTGCCGGCGAGCTGCCAGCCTTATTTTTCTTCGGGGGAGCCGCCTTCTGGTCCTTGTCCGGGCTAAGCATTTCCCGTGGCCTCTTTGGCGTTTCCTTCTCTACCGGTGCTGGGCTGCCGGTGCCTGCTGAGCCGCCAGCCTGTGACGCAAATAGCGGCGAGCGCCGCATTTTATTGCTCTTTTTGAACGGGTCTCCCGTTTTGGCACTCTTTAGCTCTTCTGCACTTGTAGTGTTCCTTTCCAGGGCGGCCAAGTGAGGCACCGCCTTGTTAGGTATAATTTGAATGTTGTTTAGGGCCTCCAGAATCCTTGCCCTAGCCGTGGTCTCTCCCACGGATGGATTTCCACTTCTGTGGCTGCCACCTTGAGTAATTTCGTTGTTCGACGACATTCCAAAATTTTGGGGGTTTGTGCATTTGTGCCCTGAAAGGTATGCTACCCTTCTGCTTTGCCTTGAGTCGCTGGCGCTCTCTAGCGGGCTCCTGCAGTCGCGTCATTGCGACGTTTGGCAGCCCTGGTGCCCTTGGTCAAGATCTAGCGCCCTCTACCGGCAGACACTGTTAGGACGTTCCCCAACACTGCCCGCCAGCTGGTTACGATCAGCTGCCATGACCTGCGCAATTCTGGTGGGGGCAGCCACGTTTGCTTAGCTTCTTCAACTCAGGAGAAAGGTGTCGCAAAGAGAGTTCCTAGAAGAGAAAGCTCTCTTCGCGCCTCTTACCTCGGCGGTTGGCGGGTATCCGAATCTTCGCGGAGGCCATCTAGTGACCTATCCAGGGAGTGTTATGGTTCGCTCGGCAGGTGAGTCCGTCCCCAGCTGTCCGGTCACCCATTACCCACTCCTTTTCTAGATTCTGCAGTGTTTGGCCGCGTCACTCGGGAGCGCCTGCGCGGTACGTCTGCTTTCTTCGAAATCTGGATATTGTAGCAAGGTGGGTTCCATAAGTTTGGTTTTTAAGTATTGGAATGCATTTTCACACTCATCCGTCCATTTAAAAGGAACATTCTTTTTACATAATCTTGTTATGTACCGTAAATAATCGGAAAAATTTTTTATAAAACGTCTATAATAGTTACAGAATGCTACGAAACGTCTGACATCGTATTTCTTGTCATCTGGAAGTATTCCTTTATCAGTGCATTAATGACCTAGAAAAGTCACTTCATGCATAATAAATGAACATTTTTCTGGATGTAGCTTTAGGTTGTATTTCCTACATTTCTTAAAAACATCTGTTAACTTCTTAAGCATATGTTTTTCGGAACAACCGATTACTATTAAGTCATCCATATAAAGAAATGCTAGAGAAGGTTCTAGACCAGAGAACGCAATAGTCATCATTCTCTGAAACGAATTAGGAGCTATTTTTAATCCGAAGGGTAATCGCGTGAAGCGATGTGAGCCGTTGCTCGTTGAAACAGACGTTATATCTCTTGAACCTTTTTCTAGTTCAATTTGATGGAATCCTGACATTAAGTCAAGACATGAAAAGTATTTTGCTCGGCCTAGTTGATCTAAAATATCATGAATCCTAGGTAATGGGAATTTATCAGATAGACAATTTTAATTATCTGGCTGTAGTCAATTACTAATCGCCATTTCTTTACATTTGATCCGGGGGATGATTTCTTAGGAACAAGTAACAATGGGCTATTATTTGGATACTGACGGTTCGACAATCCCGTCTTAGATTAATTTTTCTACTTGCTTTTGTATTTCGTTCACCTGACTATGTGGGCTTCGATAGTTCTTTGTATAAACTGGTTCATCATCTTTTAATCTCAGTTTCTGTTTATAAAAATTATTTGTGGTTATTGATTCGGTTTCCAATCCGAATATATCGCTATACTGGGTGCATAAGCTAGTAAGCTGAGACTTGAATTGTGGAGGGAAGTTTTTTGATAGTTGTGATAGTACGGATTTTTATCTATTGTCTGTATTGGTGTTGACTACATCGTAGTTCGAAAGTGATTCATATGTTAGGTTATCTGTACTGACTACTTGGTCGGTATTTGATTTTAATAGTTTAATAGTCTTGTTACGATAAATAGCAAAACTGCTCCCGTGGCATCCGGCAACGCCGAAGTTGCAGGACCGATAGTTTAAGCGGGTGTTGAATCTCTGTTAACTCAGCCGGTAACCATGTGCCTAAGCTTTTTTTTTCTATTTGACACTCGAGGGAAGCGGACGAAAAGTGAGAATATAGAATTAAGTTTTGATTATGAATTGTACAACTATTAATTAACTAGGAATTTAAAGTGCTGCTATCACTGCTTGGAGTGAAAAAGTGGTTACCGACTGTACCACTGTTAGCCTTTGCTACCGCCCTGTTATAAATGAAAACAACAATAAACAATTATCTACACGGGCGTCTTTACTCGGGCGGCGCTAAAAAACTTCGAATTCCCGCAACATTTCTTTAAATTCCTTTTTGGTGTTTTCTTGGAGAATACTTGAGTCAGAGAGCGAAATCAACATGGAGATGCCTACTGGATCCGGTGGAGAGGCAAGATTGGTGGCGACATGCTTCCTTTGTGAAGTGGAGGACGAGTACGGTACAGTTGGCTGTATCGGCGCCGGCTGCGTGAGCATGTGCCATCCTAAGTGTGCTGCTCTAGAGGATGGCGGCTGGATCTGTGCAGAGTGTGACGTAGACGTCCATGCACAGAACTCGACATTGATCAGGACAGAAAAGCTGACCAGCCTGACGGCTGGGGACAACTACCAGAGTTACTCAGGTGGCGACCAGATGAGGATCGGAACTAATGACGTCAACGAGGCCTCGAAGGAAGCGCAGGACCTGCAGACGCAGCTAAGGTTGTTGGAGGAAGAAGATCAGTTGCTGCAGTTGCGACAACAACTTCTACACAGGCGAAAGGCGCTCATGGGCAAGCTCCCAAGGGAGAAGATATCAGAGACTGGCCACGCAGAAAAGATGCCTGGAGCATCTAGTACACGGTACCAGAATGCTGGTACGGATACAATTGGTGAAGTTGTCGTTCGGGAAGAAACGGCAGTACGCAGAGATCCCACGCTGGGCCCCCATGGCTCTTTTCTACCAGTGGGGAGGACAACTCAGCTGCTAGGGTCACTAAGCCTGTGGGCAGACCATCGTACGAACAATTGACAGCGAGGATGACTAGCGTGGCTGAGTTGGTGAATTTTTCCGGAAGGCCGGAGGACTGGTCCTTATTCATCGCAACGTATGAACAGACGACGGAGCTATGCGGATTCTCGGATGCCGAGAACCTAATGCGGCTTCGGCATGCGTTGGAAGGACCAGCCAAGAACGCAGTACAAAGTCTAATGCTGCATGCGGACTGTGTTCCACAGATAATCGCCACGCTAAGAATGCGATTTGTGCGACCCAGAATTATCATTGACTTGTAAGCGACAAGGATTAAACAATTTCCTCAAGTGAGGGAGAATAAGCTTGAAATGCTGGTTGACTTCTGGGTGGAGGTGCAAAATGTTTGTCCTACGATGAAAGCCTCCAAGTTGGACCAGTACTTAAACAACCCAGCGCTCACGCAGGAGCTAGTGAGCAAGTTGCCATCGATGGTTCAGACGTTTCGGGGAATGCACAAAGCCTCTCTAACAGTATGTATTTTGGGAAAGTTTAGTACGTGGCTATCGCAGATGGTAGAAGGAGCGAGACATGTGATAGTCCCAAGCTCGTCGTCAAGAACGAAAAGAAGGGGCACGGTACATACACACGCTGTGCGCCAAGGCTGTCGGCTGTGCACCCGCAATTGCAGAACCCTGCAGGAGTGTCCAGCATTCCTGGAAATAACGACCCGCGATCGCTGGAATGATACTCGACGGTGTGGCTTGTGCTGGAGATGTTTCCAGAGCCACAAGGTGGAAAGATGCGGCGTCCCCAATCCTTGCGGAATAGATCGATGCCTAGAACGCCATCATCCCCTGTTGCATCGCGGCAGCACGGCTCCCGTCCAAGCCAGGTGCCATGCACACCGACAAGAAGGTGTGGAAATGCTGTTCAGGGTATTGCCAGTGACTTTTTATGGAAATTGTAGGCAAGTCAACACATATGCCTTCATCGACGACGGGTCATCTCTAACCTTTATCGACGCCCCATTGCTAGAAGACCTTGGAGTGAAGGGACAACCGCAGCCTCTATGTATGCAGTGGACTGCCGGCATGCACCGGTATGAGGACAGCTCGGTCTGACTCGACTTAAGGATCTCCGGCATTGGCCAAACGAAGCAATATGATCTTCGCGACGTTCACTCTGTCCAGTCTCTTGATCTCCCGTCACAGTCGTTGGATATAACCCACCTAAAAGCACAACACACACACCTTCGACAACTACCACTGTCCGGATACGACTCAGCACAGCCCAGGCTCTTGATAGGTCTCAATAATTGCAAACTAGGGCGCGTGCTTCGCACCAAAGAAGGCACAACAGAAGAACCGATCGCTAAGACCCGATTGGGGTGGACGATTAAAGGAAGAAGCTCCAACAGTGTGGGTGAAGACATAACCCCAAACTACCACGTGTTTCACATATGTGCATGTGAAGCTGACGAGAACAAGGAGATCTTGCGCATGCTTGAGCAGTGCATGTGGTCGGACGGCGGCCCTAGACCAGAGATGAATAGCAAGAGCGTATCCAATGATGACCAGTTGGCTATACAGCAGCTGGAGAAGAACACGAGGCGTATAAATGGCCGATTTGAAACAGGTCTGCTGTGGAGGTATAAAGATGACAAGCTGCCGGATAGTTTACCTACAGCCCTAAAGCGGGCACGATGCCTGTACCAGAAACTGACTCGCGAGCCGGAGCTTGCGAAGGGAATTCGCCGACAGCTAGATGAGTACGTGATGAAAGGATATGCACGGCCCATTACGTCGGAAGAAGCTGAGGAAAAGCCATATTGGTATCTACCTATCTTTCCCGTGCTAAACGTGAACAAGCCAGGAAAGCTTCGCATAGTCTGGGATGCGGCTGCAAAGACGGAAGGGATCTCGCTGAACACAATGCTGCTGAAGGGACCTGACCAACTAGCGCAGTTGGTACCAATACTTCACAGGTTTAGAGAGAAACGTATTGCTATCGGCGGCGATATCGCCGAGATGTTTCATCAGGTCAGGATACACACAGAAGATCAGAGATACCAACGCTTTGTATTTATAGACCCAAACACACAACGGAGAGAGAACTACGCCATGCAGGTAATGACGTTTGGGGCTAGTTGCTCCCCCAGCTGTGCCCAGTACGTGAAGAACAGAAATGCAGAGTCGTTCAAGAAGGAATACCCACGAGCGGTGAAGTGCATATTGGAGAATCACTATGTAGACGACATGCTGGACAGCGTCGACACGGAGGAAGAAGCTATAAGCCTCGCGCGTCAGGTCCACTACATTCATCTTCAGGGCGGATTCCTCATTCGAAACTGGGTATCGAATTCCAGAGAAGTATTAAGCGCACTCGGCGAAGGAGCACCCACGCTAGTGAGACTAGACGAAACAACGGATGGACAGACCGAGAAGGTGCTGGGAATGTGGTGGGACACGAAGGAAGATCTCATCCGCTACCGTGTATCCCCACGATATCGCCATAAAGAACTTCTCCAAGGAAGGCAACGACCCACCAAACGAGAGTTTCTCAGTGTGTTGATGTCTATATATGATCCTTTAGGGCTCATATCCTTCTACGTGATGTATGCAAAAATAATATTTCAGGAAATATGGCGAAGTGGATGTACCTGGGATGACCCCATACCTGAGGCAGAATGGATTAAATGGAAGCGATGGCTTCGGTATATCCCGGACGTTGAGAAAATGACCAACCCAAGATGCCACATGAAGGAGTCGCTGATGGATTCAGAAGTGGAGATGCACACCTTCGTGGACGCAAGCGAGAATGGATTTGCCGCCGTGAGTTATATACGATTTCAAAATGAGGCAGGTATCCACTGCAGTCTACTGGGCAGCAAAACCAAGGTAGCCCCTCTAAGACCGACATCCATACCAAGGCTTGAACTCATGGGAGCAGTGCTTGGAGCGAGGTTGGCTCAAACTCTGGAGCTTTCACTTGGCGCGAAACTGAGCACACGGACTTTCTGGACCGACTCGAGGACCGTGCTGAGTTGGCTGCGATCGGACCAGAGGAAGTACAAACAATTTGTAGCATTCCGTGTGATCGAGATTCTAGACGGTACTACCTTCCTCCGAGAACGTGGCGGACGACGCGAGAAAGTCGTTGGTTAAACGGGCCGAGATTTCTTTGGCAAGAGAGGCAGTTTTGGCCGCTGACAGAGGAGGAAGAAGGAGACGAGTCAGGAATGGAACTGAAGGCGCAATTCATCGGCGTATGTGACGGATTCACAGACGTAGGCCGCGCGACCCTCATAGACTCTGAGCGGTTCTCAATCTGGACCCGTCTGCTATGGAGTACCGCAAGAACGGTATGGTGTATGAGGCGATGGAAGGCCAAGGCTCTACAACGATCGGACATCGAAAATCAGCCATCACAAGAAGATACCAGGGTCGCGGAGAGTCTTCTGTGGTCGTACGCTCAGGCGGAGTACTACCAGACGGAGATACGGTTAATCTTACAAGGAAAACCATTGAAGAAGAATAACCTACTATACAAGCTGGGACCGTATATGGATTCCGATGGCGTATTAAAGCTGGATGAACGTGCCAAGATGATCAAGGAAAGCGACCGCGTCGTACTCCCCTGCGGCAGCCACATTACGCAGCTTATCATAAAGGAATTTCACCGAAGATTTCTGCACGCTAATCACGAGACGGTGGTCAACGAACTACGACAAAAATTTTGGATACCAAAGCTGAGATCCACCCTTGCTCGGATACTACGCTCCTGCCAGCAACGCAAGAACCGACAAGCGGTCCCCAAACCGCCGCGCGGTTCCAAGAGTAGCAGCCTTTAATAAACCTTTCAGCTACACGGGTGTGGACTACTTTGGGCCTGATGGTGCGGGTCAGACGCAGTTCAGAGAAACGATACGGCGTGCTCTTCACCTGCCTCTCTACAAGGGCAACACATCTAGAGGTGCGCAATTTTATGGCCCGACGAGGGTGCCCAGTGGAACTCTGGAGCGACAACGGCAACAATTTTCAAGGACCCTGCACGGAGTTGCGTAGGGCGTTTGAAGATGTGGACAAGGATCTACTCTCTCACGAGTTCACTGGACCCCAGATGACATGGAAGTTCATTCCACCCGCATCTCCCCACATGGGTGAGGCATGGGAGCGCTTGGTGCGTTCCGTGAAGACGGCGTTGGAATCAATCCTCCTTGACAAACGACCCTCGGATGAGTTGCTGAGAGCCACTCTTATGAGGCGGAGGCGATCGTCAACTCGCGACCCCTAACATACATTCCATTGGAAGATGAGAACGAAGAATCACTGACACCGAATCATTTCCTGCTTGGAAGCTCAACTGGAAGAGGACCGACGATCTGGATGGAATCACAACAACTGGCGGACTCGTTCTGGAGGCGATGGCTTCAAGAATACCTGCCAGTGATCACTAGGCGGACCAAGTGGTGCGAAAAGGCTAAGCCTCTTGTAGAAGGGCATATCGTGTATGTGTGCGATCCCGGACAACCGCGTAGCCAGTGGCCGAAAGGAAGAATCCTGAAGGTGAACCTTAGCTCGGACGGTCAAGTGAGGAGCGCCGCGGTGAGGACCCAATCTGGCGTTTATACGAGACCCGCGACGAAGCTGGCAGTTCTATCTATCGAGAGTAGTTTAGTTTCCCTGGCGGAATATACAAGTGGGGAGTGTTACGATAGATAGCAAAACTGCTCCTGCGGCATCCGGCAACGCCGAAGTTGCAGAACCGATAGTTTAAGCGGATGTTGAATCTCTGTTAACTCAGCCGGTAACCATGTGCCTAAGCTATCTTTTCTATTGGACACTCGAGGGAAGCGGACGTAAAAGGAGAATATAGAATTAAGTTTTGATTATGAATTGTACAACTATTAATTCACTAGGAATTTAAAGTGCTGCTATCACTGCTTGGAGTGAAAGAGTGGTTACCGAATGCACCACTGTTAGCCCTTGCTACTGCCCTGTTATAAATGAAGAAAACAATAAACAATTATCTACACGGGCGTCTTTACTCGGGCGGCGCTAAAAAACTTCGAATTCCCGCAACAAGTCTTATGAAGGCATTATTGGATGTTGCTATGGTATTTGCAACGTAAATACCATGTTGAATTTCCTGATTTGGAATTAATACACTGTCTTCTTTTGAATTAAGTTCAATTTTCCGAATAACTTGGGATCTTGCTGGCAGAAGTATTGAATTATTGCCAGAACTATGAGCTGTTGGTACTTAATTGCAAATTTTAAATTATTGGGTTTAATTATAAGCCAATTTTCAGATGGCTTGAAGTTTAATTGACAGTTGTATTTTTTGATAAAGTCGATGCCTATTATTATTTCATCCATTATGGAATTATGTATTAGGTTGTCTATATCTCTATAGAAACTAAACCTTTGGATTTTATTATTTCTTGACTTATGCCTTTTATGTCTATGATGTAATCATCTTTGATGTTTTGGAAGTTATCCGAACTTTCTTTTAAAATGGAAAAGTCTGCACCTGTGTCTATTAAAAAGATAAGTTCTTTCCCAGTAGCTACATTAAAAAATGAAACGAATATATTTTGGCTGAGATTAATGGTGTGAACTCTGACTTCATTTGTTGTTCATTTGAGTATTTAAAGGGTTTTGGAAGTTTTCCGATGTGATTTGGTTATTATTTTGGTTTAACATTGCCTTGGTTATTGCTATTGTGGCCTCGGTTCCAGTTACCACCGTCTCTATAGTTTCCTCTATATGGGCCTTGCACTCTTTTCTTATTTTAATAATTGTTGTTGTAATTATCGTTGTTGTAGTTATTGTGGTTTTAGTTATTGTGATTACCACGAAAGCTACCTCTTTAACTTCCACGTCCGCGATTTGAGCCGCGCTGTGGATGATTTTTATAATATAAGACGGTGCCAGCTTGCATGATAAGTTTTTCCTTATCGATTGTGCAATTTTTAGTCATTGCTTTGACTGCATGCTGCATGGAATAACTTCAGGCTAGCTCTAACGTTAAACCATCTGATATATATGCACCTTTTAAGGCTTTCGTCATCTGCTCAATTTCTTGTGTGTATTGGTTAGCCGTTGTATTGCGCTGCTGTAGATTCATCAGCTTCGGTGATAATACCTCAACAGTTTCGCCTTTGACGTTGCTTCTTAGTCTAGCAATCACCTCAGTAATTGTGGTTTCATTACCGATTAGATTCCTGGCGACACCTTTTAGCTTAAAAAAAAAATTATGCAACGCAGTGCATGAGTAAAAAAAAAATTTTCAGCTCGGTTGGTTTCCTTTTTTCCCTCTACGTCAGCTGGTCGTCGCCGGTTTGGCTACGCTGACGTTCCCTTCGGTGGTGCAGGAGGTGGCGTATTCCCGCACTCTATTTGCTGCTGCTGCTGTCCGGGGCCTTTTGGGCTCAGGCGTTACTGGTGCCGGTCCTCGCACAGGTGTGGTTGCAGTGGGGGCTGTCCAGTGGTCCAGGGCAATCCTTCGGGCATGTCTTTTTAAGTTTTGGTAATGGCTTGGGTGATGGAGGTTTTGTTGTTATTAGTTTTTCAATAATTTTTCTTATTGGCAGTGAGTGACTGGCGGGAATTTTCGGGCGTTTATTTTTATTACTTATTAATTGTTCTTGCAGAAAATCAAGTTCTGTTTGCAGTTTTGGAGTATTTACGTAGAGTAGCCACTTTAGGTGTGCTACCCTTTTTTTTTATTTTTTTCGCAACTCCTCCGCGATTTCCCATTGCTTTCACTCTACTCACTCAGATTTTTTTCCAGTTTATGTTTTGTTTTAATTTTTTTTTTTATCCTCCTGGGTCCTTCTCGGTGTGTCCTTCTTGTCCCTCGATGTCCTTCGATGTCCTTCCATATCCTTCCATCGCTGTCACGGTCGCCATGTCATAGGATAACTCCGTGGTTTGATTATTTTTAGGTTTTTATTTAGAAGGAGCAGCTGAGGTGCCGCTCCAACGATCAAGTTGGGTCTGTTCTTTTACAATATTTTTTAAGTCTAAGTAAGTCTCGTAACAGCGCTGCTCGCAGGCGGCGGCAGAGAGACGGCTATGTACTTATGTATAAAGGAATATAATAATATACGTTGTTATGAACTCTCAAGTGGAGGCACGAGGGGTATGCATATGCTGACCGTTTGTTACGATTATGCCGACACTAACGATCGGTTCATATTTCGGCCACTTTGGGTTTATGACCGGGACTTTGGATTATGTAAATAGTGCAACAAAGTGTTACAGTGCGCACCCTTTAAGTACTCTCGGTACAGTGGGTATTCAATATATGTGCATACTACAGGACCTACACGCAAGCAATTGCGTGCCGTAACTGTGTACACCGCTGGTAGTGCGACTATACTCTCCACGTGAGGGCGGCTGGTAACAGGTCCCGGTAAGGTCATGTCTCTGCCAAGGATGCTGGCTAATGGATGCTGGCACTCCCTGACGCGCCGGTGTGGAGGAGGCTGCCAAGGCTTCTTCTTCCAAAGCGGGGTTAGCCATAGGACCACCGAACGGCGTGGAGAGGAAGACCCCAGGGTCAACCTCTAAACCAACCGGCGGGCCCCCTAAGGCTAACCCTGGTCCGGGAGCGTCTCACTCAATGCAGCGTAAAGGCTCTTATAAAGATAGGAGTAGATCAGCCTTCATTCTGATGAGGGCGGACCCATCGGCCAAAGCCATCCCGGACCAGGCCGAGATCATTAAGTGGGCAAGGGAGATCCTGCCCGATTTTAATCCGGAAAAGGCGGGAGCGAGGCTGGATCCAAACAAACGTGCTGGGTCAGACCGTGCCAAGGAGATCGCGCAAAGCGCGAAAAGGCAGAGGTCTACGGAAGAAGAAGCCCCCCAGGCCAAGAAGAGGAAGGCCCAGCCGCAGCCGCCCAACCGCTCGTTCGCTGAGGTGACGAAGGGAAGAACCCTAATTGGCGTCCTGGACAAGGGCTCCAAGGATGGGCTCATCCCCAAGGACCTTTGGCGACGAGTGGTCAACGAGTTGCATGGACGCTTCGTGGAAGAGATGCTGCAGAGCGGAGGACCCCCACCAGAATGCGAAGACGCAGGATGGTATCAGGGTAGCGCCATGGTAATTGCCTGCCAAGATGCGCTATCGATAGAGACCTACTAGCGAATGTTAG